CATCTATACATCTGTTAGCTCTCATGTTCTTTGGAGAGCCACATCTGGATGCTTTAATGTTGGGGCATCTTAGACTTTGCTGTGGCCTGCTCTGCATCTTTGTTTCCATGAAGAGTCTCTGAGAACTGACATGGACCCACGCCCCCTCTCTCTGTATGTGTGTGTGTGGTTGCCTCTGCATACAGCTGTGGAGGCCAGAGGTCAACTTTGAATGTCTTTTTCTGTTGCTCCCCACCTTATTTTTAGAGACAGGGTCTCTCACTGAACCTGGAGCTCACTGATTGGCTAGACTTCTTGGCCACCGAGCCCTACTGTTTACCTGTCTCTCTGCCCCTCAGCGTGGGTTACAGGTACATGCTTCCATGCCTAGCCTTTCCATAGGCACATGGGATCTGATCTCAGGTCTTCTTGTGCATGCAGTAAGCATTTTACCCTGTGAGCAATCTCCCCAGCCCAGTCATAGACCGCTTAAAAAATACAAAAGTCTTGTGAATCTCTGCACAGTCTACCTTCACCGTTCAGCGTCCCGGCACGGAGAGAATGTACAGAGAGAACACTGGCCCATCCAGCTCTCAGGTCTCCAGGCGCCTCCCCTGGCCCCGCCTCGTAGGCGTGACAGTTGCCAGAGTCTCAATGGGGGTTGGAACTTCCAGATCCAAGCTGGAATGGCTACCCACTACATGTGAATAAATGGATTTCAGAGAACTAAGTTGTGTGTTGGCCCTGTGGTGTTCTAAGTTGGAGACCAAGGTTATGGGGATACTCAGCGTGGTGGATACAGATCGTGAACCCCCCTCTTCTGCAGCCCAGGTCCAGCCCCAGGACTTACTTCCTGCAGTCCACATTTGTCCACATGTATACTTGTTTATTGGGTGTAATCTGGCAAGTGTCTAATCATTCTCTTATATAGTGTGTGTGTGTGTGTGTGTGTGTGTGTGTGTGTGTGTATGTATGTATGTGTATGTGTCCATATGTGTGTGCATGTGGAAGCCAAAAGAGAATGTCAAATGTTTCTCAGGCACTGTCCACCTTGGTTTTAAGACAGGCTTGCTCATTGGCCTGAAACTTTCCACATAGGTAGGCCAGGCTAGTTGGCCAGTGAGCCCAGGGGTCCTCCCATCTCTACCTCCTCAGTGTGGGGATTATAAGCACATGTCACCACACTCAGCTTTTAAAGTGTGGCTTCTGGGGACTGAATCCAGGTCCTTGCAAGTATTTGACTGACTGAGCGAACCTCCCAGGCCCCCCCCCCCCCCGTTCTCTTTTATCTTATCACCGAGAACATCCGGTTTAACCTGTTCTTGCCCATCTTTTGTCCTGTTAGCAAAACTCCTAAGTACCTGCTGCTACCATATCTGCCGAAACACACACTCTTGGAAGTAGATGTCACAGGTGCCCTTTACAGGAGAAGCGTCTCCAAAGGCGTACCATAAGCCAGCATCCCTCTGGCCTCATTTCCTAGTTAGACATGTTTTAAATGGGGAAGAGAAATTTATCCTTTGGGGGACACTGAGATAACCATGCTAGGCTTTGAGGCTGCTATTTCAAGGCTGAGTAAATATCAACTCAGTTGTGCAGCTTGGGAATCATTAGGTGTGAAGGATAGTACATTATGTGAACCTGTATGAGACTTATTATGTTTATATTGATTATATACTGGTGTTTATTTAAATTCTAGATCCATGATCCTTCTTTAATAATTACCTCCATTTAAAGAATTCATCTTTGTATTGGAAATAATTCTGAATCTTCAGAAATTTTTCCTTAAGAATGATACTAAAAGTGTTTGTGGCACAGCAATCCTTATGTCCTTCTGCTTTGAGTTGTCTGTGGTACAAGCTTCCCTTCATTTTCTTCTCCTGGGATCTCAGCTTTGTGTGTGTGTGTGTGTGTGTGTGTGTGTGTGTGTGTGTGCGCGCGCGCGCGCACGCGCATTTGCATGCACATAAGCAAGCAATATAATCAACATGTACATCATGGCTATTTTTTAAAGATTTATTTTTATTTTATGTGTATGTGTGTTTGCCTGTATGTGTGTATATGTACCATGTGTGTGCAGTGCTTGTGGAGGCCAGAAGAGGCACCAGCGTCCTTGGAACTGGTGTTACAGATGGTTGTGAGCTATTATCATGTGGGTGCTGGGATCCGATCCTGAGTTCTCTGAAAGAGCAGCCAATGCTGCTTAACCTCTGAGCTGTCTCCTCAGCCCAGTGCATGTGCTTTTATTAGTGAAAACAGTACAAAACCATCTTTATCTTGCTACTCACCATGTGTTTGTAGCATGCTTTAGTCATCCTCATTCCCAACATGCTTTCACTTCCATCTCCTCTCCAACATTCCTTCTTTTACTTTCCTATGTCTTATTTTCACATCCAATCTTAGCTGAAAGGCCGAGAAATGATGCCTTTTATTTTTAAATTTAGACTGTGTATAAGAGAAGGCATGTTTGTGGTATCTGCCTGAGTCTAGCTTACATCACTGAACAGGATGACCTCCAGTTCTATCCATTTCCTTGGAAATGACATGCTTTCATCCTTCAGGGCTGAATGAAACCCCATTGCACATTCACAGCCGCCCCCTTCAACTGCTAACGGACGCGTAGGCTGGTTCCAGAGCTCGGCTGTTGTGAATGGCGTCGTGATAAACATGGATGTCTAAGTATCTCTGTGGCATGCAGACATAGGGTCTATCATTGTGTACCCGGGAGTGGAACAGCTGGCTCACATGGAAGTCTTGTTTTTAGTTTTTGTAAGGACCCTGCATATTGATTTCCATAATGGTTGCACTAATTTCCATTCCCATGCAGTATACAGGTTCCTTTCCCTCAAAGGTCAGCCTTTGCTATTGTGTTTGTTTGTTTGCTTTTTAAGTCACTGGAGTGGGATAGAAACACATTGGAGTTTTAAAAGCTTAACCATGTCACTTAACTTTCTAATTGGAGTGGTGTGTGTGTCTGTGTCTCTCTGTGTATATGTGTGTCCATGTCAGTGTGCCAGTACATGCCCATGTATGCACATGCAGAGGCCAGAGCAAAATATCAGTGTTTTCCTCCATAGCTTCCAATGGCCATGCAACAGGATCTCACTAATCAGAAAAATCACTATTTCAGCTTAGAATCATTGTCCAGACAGCTCTTGCGATCCACTTGCCCTGACGCCCCAGTGCTGGCTTTACAGGCGTGTGTATCCATGCCTGTTTGGTTTTTTTTTTTTTTTTAATTATTCTTAATTTTTCTATTTTTTTTCAAACAAGGTCCTTGTGTCTGCAGAACAAGCACTCTTACCCACTGCATCCCCCACAGCCCACATTGTGGATTGGATTTGCATCTCCCTGACGACTAGGGAGGTTGGGCATCTTTTCATGTGTTTATTAGCCGCTTATACTCTTGAGAATAGTTTGTTCAGTTCACTCACCGGCTTATTGATTATTTGTTATTCAATCTTTCATGTTCTTTATATATTCTGGACACTAATTTCGTGTCAGATGACTAGCTGGCAAAGCTTTTCTCCCATCTGATGCATGTTGCTTCGCTCTGGCAATTGTTTCTCGTGCTGAAGAGCTTTGAACTGTGTGCAGTGAGTTCCTGAGCTATTGGTGTCCTTTTCAGAAAGTCCTTGCCTATGCCCAAATCTTTAAGTATTTCTCCTGCATTTTTCTTCAGTGGTTTCAGTGTGTAAAGTCTTACATAAATGTCCTTGATGCCTTATCTATCTATCTATCTATCTATCTATCTATCTATCTATCTATCTATCTATCTATCTATCTATCTATCTATTTTGCACAGAGTGATCCTGGGATCTAGTTTTGGTCTTCAGCCTCTGAGTGTCCAGTGTTTCAGCCCCCGAGTTGGAGAGGCCGACTTTTCTCCAGCGTGAGCTCTTGGCCTTTCTGAGAACCAGGTGGCTGGAGTGTGTAGGTTTCCTTCTGGGTCCTGCAGCCTGTCCTGTTGGTCAGCATGTGTGTTTGTGTCCGTGTCCAGCTTTTGTCACCATGGCTCTGTCGTGTAATTTGGGATCTGTGTGTTTCCGTATAAATCTTAGGGTTGTTCATTTGTTTGTTCTTCCTGTGAAAATGTCATTGGACTTTTGCTGGGAACTGTGTTGACTCTGTAGATCACTTCCAGTGATGCAGCTGTTTTCAGGAGGGTGATTCTTCTGATCCATGTGCCAGGGAGGTCACAGATCTTCTACCGTGATCTTCAACACCCTGGAGTACATTTTGTTTTCTGGAGAAAGTCTTCAAACACCGAAGAAGCTGATCGTCTCACAGTTCTTTCTGACTTCAGGGCATATATTTCCTAAAAACAAGGACCCACCTCTCTCATAATCACAGTGCAGAGCCAATCTCAATTGATTTAACCATTTTAGTTAATCTGTAATTCATATGGACTCACCTGACCCAATAGTATCCTTTATAGAACTTTTGGGCCAGTGAGATGGCCTGCTGGGTAAAGATGCTTGCCAACAAGGCTAACAACCTGAGTTCGGTCCCTGGAACCTGTACGGTAGAAGAGAACGACTTCCTCAAGCAGTCCTCTGACCCCCACACCTACACTGGGGTGCACACACCCCTTCCCCAACAGAGAAATAATTATAATAGAAATCCATTAGGAAAATAACTCTTAACAGTGACAGTTTCTACCTTGACACTAGATGGATATCTCTGCTCTCCTCCCAGCTTCTAGTACACACCACACATAGGAATGTTCGCGAGGATTCTATTTGATTTATATGTAGATATTAGACTGAGCTCAGGTCAGTGTTTGATAATGTCATCAAGACATGTTCGCTTTTCCATGAGCACAGACTGCCTCATTCTTTGCTTTCTGAGGACGTGTATCAGTTCAGGCTCCTGGAAAGGACTCACGGATGTTTAATAGAGTGTCTGTTCCCTTAGCAGCTTCGACGTTACAACATTACTTGACACAGAAGCCTGCTGTGTGGACTGTTCCTGGAGCCTCGATTCTCTAACACGTTGTCACGCTTTCTGTCTGATCATAGCTCCCACTCACCAGCTCGGGGAACGTGCCGTACCTCGAATTCCTGTCCAGGTTTGGTGGAATTGATCTAAATATAAATGTTATAAGGAGGTAAGTGGGCTTTTTTTTGGTCACTCATATTAACATTTGATATGATCGAATGGTTGGAGTCACAACACAGGCCATTAGAGTCAGTTCTAGTCATGCATCGGTATCTGTGTCTCTATCTCTTTCTTTCCTCTCTGAGACTGAGACTTGCTGTATAACCCAGGCTGGTCTTGAACTCATGATCCTCTTGTTTTAGCCTCCCGAGTGCTACAATTGCAGGTGTGGCTCATAGCTGTATCTCCATGGAAAATGCATGAGTAGAGCTTGTCCACATAACATTTAACGGATTAATCCTCAGTCAAAATTGTATTTAGAAAGAACGAGGCTGTAATAGAACATAAGCATAGGAGGGTTAAAGCTAGGCTGAAAACATCCTGTGTCTAATGTATTTTAAATCTGGAAACAACGGGTTTTAATTTTGAAGTGAAACACTAAGATTCCAGGGTTGAAATTAGTTGTTTTTATACATTTTTGTGCCAGTCATTGGAAAGTGATAGTGTTTTGCTGGACAGGGGAAAATAGGATGTTAAAGGTTTTGTTAAGGCACCTCTATGCGTCGTGGTTTTAGCTTAAATGTAGGGCTCTCTGGTTCATTGTTGCCTGTGGGGGCTGGCATATAACCCTCAATGGCTCTGTTGGCAGAAATGCTTTGGGTTCCAGTTTGTGGCTTAGGAAATACTGTTTTAGTAAGAAAATTACTCACTGCTTATCTGACTCTGTGTGAATAAGCCTCATTTTCTATGGAGCTATGCAAACAATTACAATAATTTAATTTAGGGGCTGGAGAGATGGATGACTCAGCAGCTTAAAAGCCCTTCCTGCTTTTCCAGGGGATCTGAATTGAGTTCCCAACACCCATGTCAGGCAGCTCACAACTGACTATGACCCTGGTTTTGAGGATCTAATGCCCTCTTCTGGCCTCCATGGGCGCTGCACTCATGTGCACATACCCACACATAGATACACACTTTTATACATAGAATAAATCTGATCCTGTGCAGTTTGCACCTTTTAAAAGTATTGCCCTTATAGAGTCACACTTGATTCCCTGTCCCCCTCCCCCTCTCCCCCTGCAGCTCAGGCACAAGCATCACTGCAGCAGGAGGAAGAGGTGATGGGGAGCCATGGATGATAAAGAGCTGTGGGTGATGCAGAACTGTGGGTGATGGGGAGCCACGGGTGATGGGCCCTTAGGACTTCTGCATAACATCTTGAATATGCTGAACACCACTGAACTATGTACTTAAAATGGTTCAGTGGTTTTTTTTTCTTTTTGTGGTGGTAAGAAATTGAGTTCTTACATGCTAGGTAAGTGCTTTTCCTATGGAGCTGTACTCTCAACCCACAAGAACAAATTTTATGACTTTTTTCCTTTAAATTACAATTTAAAAATCATTAGAGAAATAGCTCTAGCTGCAATGACAGATATCAGCCCCTCTCTGTGGCTCGAGTGGGTCCCCAGAAATTCACATTTTCTTAACCCCTTGATTGGCATTGCTGGGAGTGGGCCTGTTGGGGTTGGGGTAAGGGCCCCTGGAAAAGGTGGTCCTGATTTCACGGTAGTGGGTTCTTGCTCTCATGGGACTAGATGATTTACCTTCAGGAGTGGCTTCTGTGAAGCCACTTAGGGTCTCTCTTCTACACGCGCCTCCTCTTCCACTTTCTGCCACCAGCTGAAGGAGTGTGAGGCCCTCACTAGAGACCCCGAGTTAGCACCTTCCAGTTCTTTAACCAGCTCCTTGACCATGAACCCCAACATCATCAGTTGCCCAGACTTGGGGACCCTGTCACAGCAGAAACATACCCATTGACAGCCTGTGTGTGGGAGGCCTTGGGCTCTGTGTGGTGTTGAGTAAGTCATAGACTGAGCTGCTTTCCACAGCCACTCAGAAGAATGACCGGTTGTTTACAGACTCTACATCCATGCTCTTGACCCAGCCCCACCCCATTTATGGGATAATACTGTTGGGTGTACCATATCCTGTTTTGAATAGTCTTTGTTTTTTTGTTTTTTTAAAAAAAGCTGGAAAAACCAAAAGTAAGAGATCTTTATGTGTGTGCCTTACTATGAAATCTTAGTCTGATAATTTGAGATGAGAAGGATCCTGAGTTACTTTCTTAATCATAAAAGGCTACATATTTCCACCAAATTTGAAAGATTTCTGATTTATTATGAAGCTGGATTCTCTTGATGGTTGGAGACCATGCATTCTAATTAAGTCTCCTTCTGTGGCTATGGCAGGTTATGTACCATGAACAGCATTTCTATGGAAGACTATTAAACTGCTGGATAAAAAGTCAAACACACACACACACACACACACACACACACACACACACACAAGTATTTTAATGTGTTAGTGGGCTATCAAGAGTAGAACTCCTCTAAGAGGCCAAGATAAAATGGAAAGTGGCGTCCAGAGGAGGATACTTTCTCTACAGTCAGCTTTGGCTCTATGGGCTTCGGCCAAGTTGGTAGTGAATCCCTGTCCGCATCACAGTGAGTTCCTGTGCTCAGTTTTGTTGTCCATAAAGTAAAGAAAGACAAGAAGCAAAGCCAAGGGGGCCGCCACAGGGGAAGAACCAAACAGAAGAGCACTCCCAATAAATAGCGCTGGTGCATGATGGGACTCATGGTGCTGAAGATTAGAGGTCTGGATTGAGCAGGTTGGTGAAACGGTGGAGCAAACACAGCTGGAAAGAACACTAGTGGACGGGAAGGCAGCTCCGACGGATGCAGCCCAGAAAGACACAGAGGTGCAAAACCGAGAGGACGGCCCAAGGGGACAAAGGCCAGGAGGAGGGGGAGGGCACATGACACTTCCAAGAAGACCTGTCCTGCTCTGTTTCGTGTACCTGTAACAGAACACAGTTTGGGCGGTCTCTAAGAGTGGCAATCATATGGGAGAGTTCCGGAGGCCAGGACGTCCAAGATGAAGGCCCCAGCTCCACAGCCTCCTCCATGCATCTTCCTAGAGGAAGGCAAGGGGTGCAAGGACCAGCTACCTAGTCACCGATGACGACGTCTTCAAGGCCCTCCTTTGGTACACAACACCAACATTTGGAGAGGAACATTCAAAGGACACTGAAATAAAAAGAGAGCAGCCGAGAATCTCAAGCCAGAGAAGGATAAAGAAATGCCTAACTGGTTATATCATGGAGAACTGGCAGAATGTCAGCGTCAGTGAGAGGGCCAGCAAGATGGCTTGGCAGGGAGAGGTGCTTGCTGCCAAGCCTGATGATCTGAGTTCAGTCCCTGGGACCCACAGGGTGAAAGGAGGGAACAGATTCCCACAGGTTGTCCTCTGCCCTCCACATGTATACTGTGCAAAACTAATAAGTAAATAAATTGGTAAACGTTTAAAAACCAGAGAAATATAAAAGCAGTGAGAAAAGTACTTGCCAATCCCACAATTCTATGCTGTTTGTAAGAATGAGAGCGAGATTTCCCCTGTGGGACACAGTACTGCCCACTCCCCTTCTTGCCACAGTGTGCTCAGCCGCTGATGCCAGAGCACCGTGCTCGTGACGGCGGCTGCCTGACTGTGCTGGCTGGTTTTATGTCACCTTGACACAAGCTAAAGTCATCTGAGAGGAGGGAACCTCAATTAAGAAAATGCCTCCAGCCGGGCGGTGGTGGCGCACGCCTTTAATCCCAGCACTCGGGAGGCAGAGCCAGGCGGATCTCTGTGAGTTCGAGGCCAGCCTGGGCTACCAAG